GTGACCAAGTTTGTTTTACATGATAACTCACATTCCCGAAGCAGCTCAGTACACCACAAAGACATAACTTCAGATAAGAAAATAGTAACTTATTAACTTTTTAAAATCTTTTTCAGTGTTGCAGTTATACAGATCATAACGGTTAATTAAGGCGCAGATCCTTCAGAATTATATGTTTAATTACAGCTGTACTGAAATTGATGAGGACCATAAAAACAGTATTGTGGCTACTGCTCAAATATTTCTGGATCCACCCTGGCCTACACACCTCAGGCAGCACGTGTATAATTAATCAGCGAGCCTCGGCATGATGGCTCAGTGTTCAGCTTTCAAGAAACAACACAGACAAATTAGCTCTTTCGCTAAGGTCACAATCTGAGCAGCGACACAGATTAATTTCAAAGTACACCATGTAATCAGATAATTATCTACATTATTTGTATAGAATCAGTAAGAATGCTGTAACATAAAAAGCCATGCAACTCTGTCTCTTAGAAATTGTCCTTATGAACCATTCCTGCTACGGCAAACACGTTTTCATGGAAACTGAATGCAGCTTGATTTCTTTTATAGCAATAGAAAATAATACAGAACACTCGCTGCACATAGGGATGGGCAATCCGAACAAAAAAGCTACCTGATATTCACTGAGAACTGTTCAAGTGTTCTTCAAAGCTCGTCTCCTTGCACCTGTTCTAAGCGACCGGGACGTGACAGCTTTATCTGGCAGTGTTTGCTCGTCTTCACTTTCATTGACTTTATTTTTAAAGAGTTCCACACAGTCTGACAGCTGTATTGATCTTTAGTGCTGCATGTTAGTTACCAAAAAACCTTCTAAATCTTGAACTTCTGATCTTAAAACTAAATAAGAATCATTACGTAGAAACAAAAAAATATCCACAGGCCTGAATGTCTGATGCAGAATTGGCACAATTTTAATATCTTTGCCATAAATCAAACCCGCTGGCACACTTTCTGTAACATCTCTGCAAATCTGGTGATGGTTTAGACTTCTACCCTGGAGAAAGTTGCAGTTTCCTTGAATAGTACCGTGTCGTCTATACTGGGCCACACATTACCTTTGGCATCCTGGTTCTGGCCCAGGCTGTATGTCTAATATCCCTGTTCTAAATAGTGGAGTCCCACTTGTCTGGCCTTGAATATCAAAAGTCAAAATGGCAGCTAGAGACAAAAAAAAAATGTTTCCAGGTATAGGGGCGATGTTTTCTTTTCTCTTTTCGCTTAGCTTGATCATATTTTCAATACGAGGGCCCGAGACAGTAAATATCTAAATTACTAAAATATGCATGTTGAAGATTCTGGTGTGGTTTAACTGTTTTGTGGAGCAGTCAGCATGTGTTGGGAGAGTGCTGGAGTTTTATGGGTAAATTCGTCTTCCACATGTGAAAAACTAGGATACAAGTATTGTTTTAGTTAAATTTAGACATCAAAGAAATATGTAATTTGCTAAATTAAAAGATAACATGGGTTTCTTTGTCTGTATGCAGGTGTAATAACATTATTTTAGCAACCTGTGCATAGCAAATAATTCTAATAGTAGGGCAATAAGCGAACCACAAAAATCTGTATTTTAAAACCAGAAATAATTGCAACCCTATGATTATAACCTTACCAACTTCCCTACGTCAAGCAACCTTACTGAATGAACAGACATCAATTTAAAGTATATTCCCTAATTTCTTCTTTATTAATACAGTTTTGTCTCTTTCTTGTGGGAAAATGTTGCCATGCATGGAAAAGTAAACCTGTCAGTTAAAAAGCAGTGTCGGTGTGAACTGTGGATGTAGTATTTCTATAGATGGAACTGCTGCGATCAGCCACCCACATCTGATATTATCTTAAAAACCCTTATGTTGCAAAAAAAAGCATATTATATAAAATCTGAATATGTTATTTGCAGACAATAGCTTGAAAGATATGAATAACAATATCCAGCAGAAAATTTATGAAGCATTTTAAACTGATTTCAAGGTCACTGGTTAAATATTCAAGCTTTTCTGCAGCATAAGGAGAAAAGTGAATGTGTGTTTTTCAGCACCTTGAATTTTTATTTCTGAGGCTTAAAATGAAACAACTTTAAGGCTGGGTCAGTCTGTCAGTGGTTTTAAGTCTTATTAAAATAATGAGTAAACATTTGGCCCGCTACCTGAGCAGCAGGTACAAGAAATTTAAGAGAATTTGTTACATTCACCGTTTGGCTTGAAATCATTGGATACCTGCCTTCACTCAACAGACTGCTCTGACACTACCCATATGGAAAAGAAATCGAAAAAACTTATAAAGACTTGCATCAGATTTGGCTTGCCTCATATAGTGAATCATATAAGGCTAATGGAAAAGATATATATAAATCTTATAACGTTTGTATCTGTCTTGTGTGAAACTTGTATGAAAAGCATACAAGAGTGAAAACAGATATAAGATCCCCTGAAAAATTATATAAATGAAACTTGTATGTATTGGATACTTCCTAAAACAATATATGAAAGTAATGAGAAAGTGGACACTTTTATAAGTAAATCAAATAAGGGTATAAAAGCCTTCAGTATGATTATATATCAGAAATGGGAGGGTTTTTTTTCTCCTTCTATAATCTGAGTGTCAGGTAGAAACAAGTTTCATTTGTTTCAGTTTGCTCATTTTAAGTTTTAAATTTAAAATTATATATATATATGATCTGTATCTATAGGAATATAAATAAAGGTGAACACTACATGAAAAATTCACAGCATTTCCGCTTTCCAGTGTGATTGCGGTTTGACTCGTGTGAGCCGGCGTGTCGTCCTCAGAAACGCGCGAGACGCTCTGGATGAAAGAACTCGGTCCTGCGTCACGCTTCACATCTTCACGGTGAGGAACTACGACACGGACAAATGATGCAAGCGAGGGAAACCGGGATGACGCTAATGGAGTTTGCGAGTGCCTGCAGCAGCTTGATCTTCATTAGATCAGAGATTATACTGAGTTTAAATGGGGCACTGAAATTAATGAAAAAAATATAGAATATTTAAATTTAAAAAATGGTTTTCCTATGAACTTTTCCTTTTTTGTTGGCATGTTTTAGAACAGCAACTTCTGTATGTCAGCGGTTATTAGAAGCACTCTCATTCTGACAGCAGCCTCAGGGCTTTCACACAGGTATCGGTTCAGCACTGACAGATTAATGGATTCTCTAATATCTCTTTGACTGTCACATCAATCCAGCCGTTATTATAAAGCACTTTGGTTTTATGAGGCGTCTTTTTCAAATTATTTTACATGCACAACTGCTGCTCTGATGACACACTGGAAGCAGCTGGATAATAAGATTTTGTAATTATGCTGGATCTAAAACTGTTAAAGTGTTTGATTTCTGAAAGCAGGGCTGGAAGCTCTACGAGAAAATTCCTACAGCATGAGCGTGGATATGCTCATCTTTTATATCTAACGTTTATTACTTAATATGGCCAAAGCTTCTAACAGTGGGGTCAGAAGTTTTGGCAAAGGCACAAATCTTGTCTTTCATACAAACGTTATTTGTGGCGTGGTGGATATCAGCCTCTGAGCCAAATCCTGAATGATGGCACATTTCTAAGATTAAATCTCGGTGGGATTAAGAAATAGATTTGAGGAGATTCCTGGCCGTTGATCCAAAAAGCTGATTTGACCTTAGTTATCGCTTTGATTTCTGACGTGGTGCTCCATCATCCTGAAAAATGCACAGATTATCACCCCATTGCTCTTGGACCATTGGAAGAAGCTGATCTTTGAGCATGTTTTTCGTATGATCAGTCCTTTAAAAGCAAGCAGATAACCTGAAGCCCACAAAGGGTGATCGACTTGAAGCACTGATAATACAGAAATGGATTACCATCAATCAGGACTTGGGCCAGAACTGATTATTCACCAGTAAAAAAAAAGAAGCAAAGAATGCTTATGCTGAAAATAATCCAAGTAAAAACTGAAATGACAAAGTGTACAAAACACAAAATGTGTGCCACTGCCAAAACATTTGGTCATGAGTTTAAAATTTCTGTATGTGCGGGGCCAGCCAATCAAAAATTGTCTTGAACAGAGAAACTTGTTTTAGATGGAGGATAAACTGAGGGAAGTGGAAGCTAAATAAGGATTCATCTCAACTGCTAATTGTGTAAAGTTACTCTAGTAGAAGCAAAGAATGAAAATATGAGGCAAGGAAATGAACATAATGGGTCCCTGGAATTTGAAAAAGTGCAGCAGGCTTGGAAAATAATAACATACTAATAATGTAAGTAAGAGAAAACAGTTTTCCACAAATTATATAGTATATAGATAGTTTATATCATAGATCCACAGTTCTCATAACCTTAACTATGCCTTGCACAGAGCCCGGTATAAAGTGTATAAGGATTAATTTAACAGTGCACCATGCATCCAAGGGGTTAAATAAGTATTTAAAGATAAGATATGACTGTCATGGTCCTGGGTCGGTGACCCAGCGCTTTTAGTTATCATTTTCTAGTTTATGATGATGATGATTATTATTGTTTGAGTTCTGTGTGTCATATTTGGTCTGCCTTTGAGTCTGTCTCTGTCTATGGTGTCACCCCATCTGTTTGTGAATCTGTCTGTTTAGTTCAATGTCTTGCCTGGTTCCATGTGTCTGAGTTTCCTGTTTTATTGTGAAGGTTTGTGTCATATGTGAGTGTGCTCAGTTACGTTTCCCCTGTCTCGTCAGCTGTGATTTCTCCCAGGTGTGTTCCCCTTCTGTCTCTCATCCCTTGATTACTGCCGTCTGTGTATTTAAGCCCTGTGTTTCTCTGTGTCAGTGTCGCGTCGTACCCTCAACTAGCTGTGTGGTCTGCTTCTATGTTCCTAGTGTTTGGTCTCCTGCTCCAGTTTAGTGTTTCTTTCCAGTGTTTCAGTCCTTGGTTCCTCTGTTCTGACTTTTGGTTTTCTTTTGGTGAGTTTAGTTGTACGAGGTTTTTCCCAGCAATAAAGCTGCGCCTTAAGTTTCACTTCCGTGTCTGAGTTCTGCATTTTGGGTCCACCACTCCTGCTTGCCTGCCACACAGCGATTCATGACAATGACACTATTAATGAGATGCTGAGTATGTTTAGGAGCTGGCAGCTGGTGGTTATGTTAAATTAAACAATCATATTCAAAAAATATGTAATACATTGACTTTTTCCTGGATTCACTGAGTGTGAAAATGAGTGCTTTTGTCCTAACCCAATCAGAAACATTTTTTTTTTTTGCATGTTGTTCATCCACCCCGACCACCTCTTTACCTGTTTGACTCTCTATAGAAAACACAAAGTGTGATCCCGGCAGCAAAATGAAACTAACAGACAAACTAGGATTTCTAGGAGCTGGAGCTGCAGGCATTTGGTTTTATAATAGTTGCAGTAACAACACCCATGTCATCAACCTAGATGGCGACTGAAGCTTAAATACAGCCAAACCTGAGCAAATGATTTTCACATTATGGAATATAACAGCTTAAAAGAGCAGAAAAAATGGTGATCAAACCAATTAAAGGCACATATTTGTACATACAGGCATGCATATAAACAAAATTTACATTATAAACATGCTTTTTAATGTGTACACTGATGAAAAAATGTTAAGACCCACCCAAGTGTTCATTAATGGGTTGTTATGGGGGTTTTTTTTGGCTTAGAAGCAGGCCACCCTGTATTGTACTCACTCCACATCGGTCCCATAAACTTAAAGTTCATATTTTACACTAGAGGTAACTTATCTCCAATGATGCGCTTGGTTCCAAGTTTTCCTCTGGTAGCGTTTTAGTGCTCCCACCCTTGGTTCCGTTGAGAAGCAGTGGGACAGTCAGGGTGGCCCCGTTGGCGTCTTTCCCTTTCGCATCCCCCATGTTATCCCGCCTATCTGGGGAGGCTAGCTCTGTGACTCCAGGCGTTGCGCCTTTCTCTAAGAATAACGGCTGCGAGCTCTGCAGCTGGTAGCTGCTGTTTCCATTCTGGGCAATTCTGTATATCTCAGTCATTTCTGAAACCACCTCTTCATCATCATCCTCTTCATCCCTGATTGCTCGTCTCAGGCTCTCTCTGGGCATGAGCGCCCTCCTGCCCTCGTCCTGCTGCTGGTGCTCCAGGGGCTCGTGGTTCTCCACCTTCCTCGTGGAGCGGCAGAGGGCTTTCCGGAAACCCCGCTTGAAGTTGTCTGACAGGAAGCCGTAGACGATAGGGTTGGCGCAGCTGTTAGCATAACCGAGCACTACGACAAAGTAGTAAAGGCCCTGGTACTCTGGTGGCAGGGCCACCAATAAGTTGATGATGTTGAGGGCATAGAAAGGTAACCAGCAGAAAACAAACACAGCAACAACAATCACAACCATGCGTGTCACTTTCCGCTCTGACTTTCTCCGCTTGGTCGAGGTGGCGTGGACTTTCTTCCCCGAGCTGCGGATCTTGAAGACGATGAGCAGGTAGCAGAGGCAGATGATGAGAAGAGGGCAGAAGAATCCAACAGTGGAGGTGTAAATGATGAAAGCAGCCCTCCAGATGTTAGCCGGCTGGGGCCAGGCGATGTTACAGGTGCCTCCTGCTTTCTGGATGTTAGCAAAGATGACCACTGGCAGAACAACAAGGAATGACAGCGCCCACACGGTGCCATTCACCACTTTGGCCACCTGAGGCCGCCGCCACTTAGAAGACCGAATGGGGTGGACCACGGCGAGGTAGCGATCGATGCTCATTACGGTCAGGCAGAAGATGCTGGTGAACTGGTTGATGGAGTCGACAGTCATGACCAGTCGGCACATGAAGGAGCCGAAGGGCCATGACTGGAGCGTGTTCTGCACCGCCAGGAAAGGCAGGCCGAGCATGAAGAGTTCGTCGGCGATGGCCAGGTTGAGAATATAGATGTTTGTCACGGACTCTATCTTTGAGTAGTGCAGAACAATGTGAATCACTAAAGTGTTGCCGCCCAGGCCGATGATGCAAACAATTATGTAAATGAGTGGGATGAGGACCCCTGCTACGCTGGGACCCGAGAAGGCATCAGGGGCGGTGGAGTTGGTGGAGTTGAACAGCGTGTCGTTCAGATCGCTGTCGTTGAACATGAGCGGAAACAGTGGGAGACCCGGCGAGGGGCTCGCAAAGCTGCCGTTCTCCCACGTCTCAGCCGTCATCTCCAGGCCGGAATACGACGCGTCACCCATGTTGCTTTGTGATCTCAGCTCCCACCCATCTGTTCTGCTGAAGCAAAGAAAAATAAAATAAAGTCACTGAACTTCATAGCTGACATTTTTCAAGTTTCTTTCAGAAAGCAATGAAAAGAAATGGAAAAACTGTTTTTCAAGGACATGACAAAGGGTAACAGTACTTTTACTTTAATATTAAAGCTCTTCACACTCAGACTAAGAAGTCATCAATAATAAGAAATATTAACCTGAATATATATTTACCATGATGTACTATGATGGCTGAAGTGGTTAAAGTCTATACAATTTGTAACTTTGTATAAATTTACTGGGTCATTTTAAGAAATTTCATCAACAATTTTTTAAAACACAAAACAGTATGCTTGTTAATAGATAAGTGTAACACTAAAGAATTTACTATTTGATTGAAAATGATGCTCACAAGGTATCCCAAGCTATTTATTATTTGTGTGTACTGAATATCATTTTTAATATTTTATATATATATAATATTATTTTTTCTAACTATAAGCTTGGTCTGATTTTTTAAAATACTGCTATAGTTGTACTTTCAGCAACTTCCTTATTTTATGAAGCCGAGGTACTGAGGTTGGACTTAGAGGCATAAACCTTCAGATGCCCATCTCATCCTGGTTTAAAACTGGGGATTCTTTGCATGTAAAACACACATTAACCACATGAAGACAGTATTTGTTTTTCTTGGTATAACTCCTATATTTCTGTTCTGTCACCAAATAGTTTGTTGCCATTCAGGCCACTAAACATTATTTTTTGCTATTTGCAGGTTTAATAACCTAAAGCCGGCCTTTCACTTAATGACTTTTCGATTTCACAGATGCAATAAAATCCATCCAGTCTTCCAATAAACTCATTGGGGTTTCCATTGTTGTAAAAACAATGGAAACAATTGATTGCTTGATGCTCATGGGACCCGACTCCAGCAGAGCTGTTTAAACCCATCTTTTTCTTGTCTTAATGTTATAGCGTTATGTCTCAACTTGTAAATGGTGAATTTCTTTAATGTGAATGTGGTATGTGTTGACATGTCCACAGTCTGTGGTGGCTTCTCTTCTTCATTTAGGTTTTTTGCTTTTCTTTTGTGTACACAAAGGCAGCTGTGGCCCAAAGCTCCTGTTCAACACGTTTAACCCCTCGGCCATAAAAGGTGGGTGGGCGGGGTTGGTAGTGTGGACACCCAAGTTTGCGAATAACTCGGGAACGAGGTGTTGTAGGATTTTGAAATTCATACCATAGGTGCAGCTACTAAACATCTTGGACGACTTTGAATCTCAGTGACCTTGAACTCAAGGTCAAGATAAGAAGTCAAGCTTTCAGAAAATCACCTTGGGTTTTCAAACTTAAATGTGCACCTACTAGGAGGCTGACTAGGAGGAGACAAAAGGTCTCCCAATTTAGTTGTCCAATACATGTAAATAGTAGTTATGTTGTAATTTTGCTAATGAGAAATAAAACATATTTAGGAAACATCTATCTGGAATTATAAAACTTGTGGTAAGATGAAGTGTCTGTATTCTGAGCACAGATTATTAGATATAGTATTACAATGCATTTGTAAATTAAGAGTTAGGGTATTTTATAAAATCAAGCTTTGCAAGTCACTTTTTCACTCCCAAAAAGTGTTGTTAGCCATAATAAGCTAGGCTGTTACATGAAGAGTTAGCAGAGATGTTTCTCAGAGGGTGAGCTGCAAAAAAGAAAGGCTGTAGATAAAATAACGAAAATGGGATAGAAATGGATATGAGATAATGACTCACACAGCAAATACCGTAGATAAAGATGCTTGTTTGCAGCATGATTTCACCATGCCATCTATATTTGGTTCTTTTGATAAAGCAGGTAAATTAAACACAGGATATTCTCACACGTGGAAAAAGCAGATAATTGAGATTTCATTAGCAACCCAGCAGCACTCTAGTTAATGTGAACTGGGAACACGCATGGAGGAGAGTCGACTGGAAGACGTAGGGGGGTGAGACTTTGTCATGCTGACCAAACACTGAAGGGAAATAACAGCTGCTACGCTCACCCACACAATCTCTTTCATTTTTAAATGAAGCATGTGAGAAAGAATGAGTATCTGGCATGCTAGAGAAGGTCGTGTTGCTCTGCTTATTGGTCACTGCTGTCCAAACTGAAATGACATATTGTCAAAAATGTTGTACAAGTTGTAGACTGAGAAGACTTTATCTATTAACAGTTGAAGCATTCTGTTGTTTTCAGTGACCTGAAACTAGGATAGCTGTACTGAGGTCCAAGAGCAAGAAAAGGTCTGTTGTCCTAAAGAGTTTAACGCTACAATTTCAATAGTAAACATAAACATCGCCCCCTGGTGGCAAATAAATACAGCAATTTAAGGTACATCCGCACTGGTGTCACTTTTCAGCTACATCCATTTTTTATATACAGTTTATGGTACATTGTGATGGTCACAGGAATTATTAGAAAACTAGGGTTTCCATTTATTTAACCCCCCAAAAATTATATTTACAAAAGTAATAAATGTTCAGCTCATAAAAGAGGTCAAAGAAACAAAACTCAACAAACCAAATGACTGCCCAAACAAACATAACTGACCTAAACATGAAATGACACACAAGGGTACATACAATGCCTGATCAGACCACTATGAACATGAGGGGTAACTAAACAAAACACAATTGTAAACAACAAAAATGCAGTAGATTCTGGTTCGTTAATAAACTAAACACCAAAGAAGGAAATCAAAACTACTAAACCCTAAACTCAAATACTGAATTAAGTACAAATACTTTGTTTTTAATTAAAGAAAATACACATTCTCCCCTTCAGTAGGAAGTGGTGGTGTGGTCCAATTATCCCTCTTTGTATTTAATGATTTCAAACTCTGTCCACCACCTTTTGTCTGGCAACTCCCAGGGATCATGGCAGGTAAAAAGTAAAAGAAACAAAGGTTAGTCAAAAATAAAAGTAATGAACTGGTATGAATTCCTAAGTAAACTAAATGTACGTGCTTACAAATAGAACAAATGTATCCAAACCAATTAATAAAGTTATTGGAAACTAAAGTGTGTTATTGTGTTCAAATGAAGAAATGAAAATACACAAGTTACCGACTTTAGAGTGTGGCTATGGGTTTGGCCATCACATACATGGTATGGTGAATAATAACGGCTTTAACTTGAAAACAAATGACAGCCTTAATGTTACGCCTGAACTTCAGATTACAGGATTTTTAAACATTAAGGCTTTCTAAAAACCTGCAGAAACCCTGATCAGAGAAATTAGAGCTCGCTCACAGCAAAAACTAACACAACATCTGTATTTAGTAATAACTTTTGTTTTAAGCTGTAACAAACCAACAAACAGAAGGCTTAAGAATCTTTTTCGTCTTCTAAAATAACTGATAAGTGGGAATAACAAATACAGAAGAGCCTGTGAAAAACAACCTTACTGAGCTTCAAAAGTTTCGAGGGTCTCTACACTCATGCTCTGTTCTGCAGTACTTAACATCAACTGCACAATGCCAGTTCTCGATTGAACTGCATTTAGTGGCCAATCATAACGGGAATCTCCATATGCCTCCATTCTAGCTCAAGATAACAAAAAAGAAAGCAGCTCGTCATCTCATTCGTTAATTTGAATGAAGGGAAGAATTTCTAAGATCGTTTTTACCAGCTCCAGCCTTTGCCTGTCATTGACAGACACAGAACTTTATTGTTTTTTTACTATTAGAATTATAACTACAAAAATAAAAGCAATTTAAGTTTAATAAGTTTCGATGAAAGCCATTTTTTTCTGAAATAACCACACAGAAACTATTTTTGTGTGTTGAATGACTTTTTTAGCCCACTTCCACTTAGGGTTAGTTGCCTTGAAACAGCACTAAACATGCCGGAAAGTGTGTCTACTGGAGTGTGCAGACTGGAATTTGGTCATGTTGTATCTATTTTACACAGTCTGTGTGTAAAATAGACACATCATTATTCTGGATGATTTCCTGGCCTGGCTTGCTGTTTCCTGAATTAGATAACTTTTGTCCAAAACATGAGCTATTATTAAACCATTGAAACATCCATCCATTCTCTTCCACTTCTCCTTGTAAGGCTCAATGTTGGGGGCGGGGGCTGGAACCCAGCTGTCTTAGGGCGAGAGGCAGGGTACACCCTGGACAGGGCACCAGTCTGTTACAGGGCTAATGACAATCGTGGCTCAAGAGTTGGCAGTTCGTCTTGTAATCGGAAGGTGTGTGAATGTGAGAGTGAATGAATAGTGGAATTGTACAGCGCTTTGAGGGTCTCAAAAAGCGCTATATAAATACAATCCATTCATTATAATACATGGAGAAAGACAACCATTCACACCTATGTGAATTTAGAGTTACCAATTAACCTAACCCCACTAAGTGCATGTCTTCGGAATGTGGGAGGAACCCACGCACACACAGAGAGAACACGCAAACTCCACAGAATCGAACTCAGGACTTTCTTGCTGTGAGGCAACAGCGCTAACCATCGTGCAACTGAGCTGGCCCACCATTTAAACAAATATATCTGTAACATTTTTTAACACAATGTTGTAGACACCTACAAAGACCTTAAGTTAACTCTTTAATAAGTACACAGCAGTACAGCCTATTCAGTGTATTCAGTGTCAGAATGTGTCAGAATAAAAGGATGAATTTTACAGAAAGCCTTCTCGAAATCGCTTTGTTCTTCTTCTTCTTTTTTTAACTTACAGAACATCTAATGTGTGAACAGCAGAGCCCTGAGCGTATCCAAGAGTTCATCTAACAAACTGACTGAAAGCTTATTGTTGTGCCAAGGCGGCAGCTGCAGACTCAATAAAAAAGGATTTCAGTCTCTTTAGTTTAATTTAAGACACGTGAGGAAAAATGCAAAGTGCAAAACACGAAAACAAAAGCAGCCAATCTACTGTTTACCTCTTTGCGAGGCCGAGTAGTTTCTTGGTTTTGTCACATTAATCATTTTTCAATATCTCCAGTTCCTCGTGATTACGCACATTTCACATTACATT